CAGCACAATTGACCCCTTGTCAACTTGACACATAAGTATATCACTATTAAACCACAACCTTTCCATTTCTTGTCCCCAAGATTTGAGGTTAACAATATTGCAACATAAGACAGTACAACCTTAAATGTCCCAGAGTCCTAGCTGGGCGTGGGGGCACAGGCCTTTAATCCCAGCACTCAAGAGGCAGAGTCAGGCAGATCTCTATGAGTTTGAGGCCAGCCTGATAAATGTAGTGAGTTACAGGCCAGCTCGGGCTACAGGGAGATCCTGCCTCAAAAAGACCAAAACCCAAAAATCCAAACACTTAAAAATCCACAGTCTCTTTTAAAAGTCTCTTAACTGTGGGTTCCTGTAAAATCCAAAACAAATACTGTCTTATTTCAAAAAAGAAGAATTGGGCATACCTAAACAAAACCTAAGTCCAGCAAAGTAGCTTAATGCTGGACATCTGGGATTTACTCATGATCTTCTGGGTGCCAAAGGGTTTTGGCAGCTCCACTTCTGACCCTGCCGTCCACAGCATACACAGTTTGTCTTGCAGCCCAGGCCAGCTCCATTACACACCTGCGGCTGCCTTTGGTGGTTGTCCCATGGTCCGCATCTCTAAAAAGCTGGGGTCTCCACTTGAACTGAGGCTGCACATTCACCACTGGGCTCTTCTGGACTCTCAGGGTACAAAACCTCAGGTTCTCTCCATGACCCCTTCAATCCTAGGGGTCCTTACTGCATCTGATCCTTTCATGGCCTCTCAGGGTGCCAAGCTTCAGCTGCTCTCTGGGACCCCTTCACATTTTCAACACCGGAACCATGAAGGAGACTCTTACACATTACCAAGTCCTGCTTCCAGCTTGAGATGAAGGCTTGGGCCCCCTTTGAACCACAGCTTCAGAAGAGCTGAGGAAATAATTTGTGCAGACCCTGAGGAAATAATTCCAAGAAGATTTCACCTCAATGATGTTGCTCTCTTGCTACTCACAGCTGATTTTTCAGCCCCAGCTAACCAGCATCAATTGTCCCAGTAAAGCAAAAGTTTTCACTTCAGCAGTTACGGTCTCTTCTTAATCACATCTGATTCTTTAGCCCCAGCCAACCAGAACCCACAGATTCTCAATTAGAGATAACATACAAATAGCCCTGACAGTCTCTACTTCCCTTTGAAACTTTACAAGCCAGGCCTCCATTGTCCACAACTCTTTCAGCATAACCGTTTCAAGCTCCACACCAACAAACTCTAAGTACTCAATGGCTTTTCCAGCCCAAAGTTCCAAACGCTTCCATGGTCCTCCTCAAAACACTGAGGTCAAGTCTGTCACAGCAATACCACACCCCTGGTACCAATTTCTATTCTAGTTTGCTTTCTATTGCTGTGACAAAACACTCTGACCAATACCAGCTCGGAGAGGAAAGGTTTAATTGGCTTACATCTGCTGGGTCACAGGTCATCACCAAGGGAGCCCAACGTAGGAACTCAGGGCACAACCGGGAGACAGGAACTGAAGCACAGGTCATGGAGGAATGCTGCTTACTGGTTTGCTCTTCTGGCCTATGCTTAGCCTGCTTTCTTATACAATACACGACAACCTGCCCAAGGGCAGCACCACCCAGATTGGGCTGGGCTCTCGCACATCACTCCAAAAAGATCAAGAAAATGCCCTAATGGCATGGCCACAGGCCAGTTCAATGGAGGCAATTTCCCAATTGCGGCTCCCTTTACTTTTACCCAGGTGTGTCAAGTTGACAACTAAAGCTATCTAGCACAGTGTGGGAGAGACGAGATAAGGGCTGCAAAGCAGGAAGTCATCCACATATTAGAGGAGAGTGAAAGGATGAGAGCAAGAGAAGGATCCTGAGCTTGGCAAGTCTTTGCCAAAGATGTGGGGACTGTCTTGGAACCCCTGGGGAAGATGTGACCAAGTTAGCTGTTGGGCCACTCTGGTATAAGAGTCTGTCCTAATGAAAGAAAACATGCCTGGTAAAGAGGGATCAATGTGTAGACTGCATGCTTAAGGTCAATCACAGTAAAGTGAAGAGTTTGTGTGGAAATAGAAGAGAGGCCAGAGTAAGAGATAGGAGATAGAGATACAAGAAGTTGAACAGGGGATGGAGAGATGGCTCAGTGTAAGAGCACTGGCTGCTCTTGCAGAAGACCTGGGTTCGAATCCCAGCACCCACATGGCAGCTAACAACCAATTGTAACTCCAGTTCCAGGGGATCTGACCCCCTCTTCTGTCTTCCACTGTCATTGCATAGCATGGGTGCACTCACACACATGCAGGCATAACATTCAGACACAGAAAATAAAAATGATACATAAATATTTAATAAGTCAAATGAATTCATTAATAGCCCCACGTTCTTGAATTAGGTAGAATGAGCCATCCAGTTTTTGACACCTAGAGTGTATTATAGGGGGAGTTGGCTGGCCTGAGAAGGCTCGGAATAAGGAGCTTGTTAATGGCTGGTAGGAGGGAGACCTGAGATGCTCTGAGAGAGTATTGAGCCTGGTTAGGAAAGACTGTCAGATCTTTTAGGGTTACTCTATAAGGGCAGAGGTGTGTGGCTACTGAGTCCCCAGACTAAGGGATTAACTTGAGCTCTTACAGGGGCTGGTATGAAGAGGGCTAATGAGGGTGACGCTGGTGTAAGAATGAGGCGCTTTTATCTGTGCTGTGGGTAGGTGAACAGAATGGTGGTGTGGAGTTTAGGAGTTTAGGAAAATGTCCTGCCCCCCAAAGGGATAGTAAATCAAGAAGAAGTGAGTGAAGATGAATGTGTCTGAAACACAGGAGAGTCGCTGGGTTTTCAGGAGTTTGGAAATATAATGCCATCAAATTCCGTAAGAGAGATACAAGATGGAATTGATAGTCCTGAACATTCAATTAGAGCCAAATGCATAGCTCTAGGCTCCAAAAGGAATGAAGTCATAGCTGGTAAGATTGCTCAGTGATTAAGAGCACTGGTTGCTGTTGCAGAGGACTGAAGTTCAGTTCCCAGCACCCACATAACAGGTAACTGTCTGTAACTCCGTTTCCAAAGGAATCTGATGCCCTGTTCTGATCTGCATGGGCAGTGCATGACACTCATGAAGGCAATACATTCATACACACAAAATAAAAATGATAAATAAAATATTAGAAAAGAATAAAAGGAAAGAAATCAGTTTGCCAGCAACTGTACTGTTTACCCCTGTTTTCAGCCTTGGTGTCTTGCTTTCTTTCCCATTGCTATGATAAAATACTCTGACAAAATCAACTTAAAGGAGAAAGAGTTCATTTGGCTCTTGACACCAGGTATTGTCCATCATGGCAGAGAAGGTACAAGGGCAGGAGCTCAAAAAAACTTGGTGTATTATATCCACAGTCAAGGACAGAAAGAAATGATTAATACATACCAATAGTCACTAGGCTTCTCCTTTTTATTCACTCCGGATCCTAAGTCCAGGAAATGGTGCCACCAAAGTGGGTAGGCCCTCTCATATCAATAAACATAATTATGATAATACCTCACAGCCATACTCAGAGGCCTTTCTCTCAGGTAATTCTGGGTTCCATCAAGTTTACAACTGACACTATCACATTTAGTGATAGTGATGGTAGTGGAAGCTTCCACAAAAATTAGGAAATAGAAATTGTTAAAGAAAAATGAGCTTGTGCACAGTTTTGCTAAGCTGGAAGGGGGCAAGCCTAATTTCCTGCCTCTGTGCCTGCAGCAATTTTACAACTTATAAAAAGTCTTCAGACAAAGGTTAGAATGCATGTATGGTTAGCTGTGAAATGCGATAGTCAGTCCTTTCCTGGGGACTTGGGCCCTACATTGCTTCTGGTACTTTCCTTCTCTGTTATAGAAATAGATTTGTAATGAAATCCAGAATGAGGAAAACGGGGTTAAGGACTTATTTAAAAAAATTCCCCACCTTTAAGAATCTCCTGGGGGTTGTGGATGGAAGGTCCACATCTGGTCCAGACATGGCGGAGTTCTTTGTCCCTCTGTCCATTCTTCTGATGGGTGTAAGTTAGAAAAGCCTTTTGTATCTTTTCCTTGGAGATCAGCTGCAAGCTCACACTTCCCTATGCCTGTTAAACTCACTGACTTTTCAAGTGTCAGAAAGGTGATATTTTGACAGCTGAAGGGAGGGGCACAGGTGTCTCTGTTTAGAATATTTCCTCTCCCATCAGTGTGTCAGCATGGGATCATAGTAATATCACTTCTCCTTTGGGGTACTGGGCAGGTGTCAAGCACCATGGAAATCTATTTAAATCATTATCAATGTTTTTGCTTTATTTTGTTTTGAGGTTTTGATTTGCTTTCTGGTATTTTTTCAGACAGGTTATCAATCTGTTTTCTGAGTTCTGGGGTTACAGTTGTACACCACTATGCCCTGCTTGTGTGTGTGTGTGTGTGTGTGTGTGTGTGTGTGTGTGTGTGTGTGTGTTGAGAATCTAAAGAAGCCTATGCCAGCCTCTTGCTGAGTCTGACTGAGAACCCCGATCCGCCTGCCTCCATCTCCAGGTGCTGGGATTTCAGGTGTGCACTGCAGCATCCAGCTAAGATCACTCTTAATGTTAATGATAAGCTCTCTAAGTCATAAACACTCCTTTCATTTTTCCTGTAAATAAGCAGTCAGTAGAGGATTGAAGCAATTTGAACTCATAATTGGCTGCTGTGAGATTCCTGTCCTGGTCGCCTTGAGTAAAAGGACTGTCAGTCAGCCAGCTGGACTGTCTTTGTGCCAGAAACAAGCCATCTGGAACATTCACAGATGTCTTGAGATTGCAGCTGATTGCCCTGGCTCTGGGAGTTGAAGCCTAAGCCAAGGCTGTATAAAACATTGTGTACCAGATTTTTTTTTTTTTTTAATCAGAGGCCTCAGTAAACTTTACATGACCCTGCAACCACTTCTTCATAGGTTAGAGGGTTAGCACTTCCCTGGCAGCCCTTCAGAAGCACTGCTGTGACTAGCACCAAAGAAGCAAGGCTGTGATGATTGAAAAATAAGCCTTGTGCTCACTTTGGCAGCACATATACCAAACCTGGAACAATACAGAGAGGATTAGGCCTCTGCAAAAGAAAGACAATCAAGTTTATAAAGTGTTCCATTCCTTAAAAACAAAAACCAAAACCACAAGTCTTGAGGTTGGAGAGACAGCTGGGTGGTTAACAGCACTTGCTGCTCTGCATTTACAGCACTGGCTGCTCTTTCAGAGGATCTAGGTTCAGTTCCCAACACCTACATGGTGACTCACACCATGTGTAACTCCAGTTCCAGGGGGAATCCAATGCCCTCTTCTGGCCTCTGTGGGTACTACATGCATGTGATATACACATACTACGCAGGCAAAACACTCATACACATAAGATAAAAATAAATCTTTAGCTCTGCTTCCCTGGGCCTACACAACCCGCCCACAAGCCTCTCTCTGGGGTAAGCCCATTGCACCCTCTGTGCCTTGATTCCCCCAGCCTCATTCACCCTCCCACCTCTGCCGCTGTTCTCCCCTCCGAGTTTGGGCCCTGCCCCATTCCTTGTCTTGGGGCCCCAGACACCTGGGGAACCAATACTGCTCTCTGATCCTTTCATCCAGACCAATGGAGTGCCTTCACTGGGCGCCAGGAGCTCTGCTTCTGGGCCTGGCCCTGCCCTCACCTCCCTCCGCTTCCCTGGGCCTGCAGGACCCGCCACAGGCCTCTCTCCTACCCACAGGCCTCTCTCTGGGGTAAGTCCATTGCGCCCTCTGCACCTTGACTCCCCCAGCCTCAATCACCCTCCCATCTCCTCTGCCGTTCTCTCCTCTGAGTTTGGGCCCTGCCCCATTCCTTGTCTTGGGGCCCCAGACACCTGGGGAACCATTACTGCTCCCTGATCCTTTTCATCCAGATCAACATAGTGCCTTCTCTAGGCCCCAGGAACTCTGCATCTGGGCCTGGCCCAACCCTTACCTCCCTCTGCTTCTCTGGGCCTGTACCACCTGCCAGCCTCTTTCTGGGACACAAGAGGTGACCTTTCCTCTTCTTGATCCTTTGTATCCAGACCAACCCAGCTCCTCAGTGCAGTCCCCAGGAGCCCTTGGGGCCTCTTCCTGCCCCATCTGCCTTTGCATCTCTTGGTGGCATGGCCACCAGCTGCCCTAGACCACCATCTTTCCTGTGACAGGCGCCCAGGCCAGTCCAACCCCCAAATTCCTGAGGCCAAAATCGTTCCTGGAGGGATCCAGACCTTAGGAGAAAGCCCCAAAACATCTGAGCCTCACCTGAATTGAGCCTCTGTGGGAACTCCTAAAGACAAAAGCAATCCAGCCACTCCAATATAAAATCAAAAGAGAGAACCGGAAGCTTAGACAAACCAGCTTTTCATGCCCAAAATGTAAACCA